AAATTAATAATAAAATTAGAATTTAAACTATCTAGGAGAAAGGGCTAATAAGACTTCTTACCAGTGAGTGTGTGTGTGTGTGTGTATGGAGAGAGAGGGAGATACATATATATACACACACATATATGTATGTATATTAGTAATATTGAAATATCCCTGAGAGCAGATACTGTGGTATTAAGCCTGGGGCTTCACATATTGGATGCCAATACTTTTTAAAATTTCACTCAACAAAATTGGTTGAGCACCTACTCTGTGCCCAGAACTGGAATATAAGATGAAGATACAAATATAAATTAAAAAAATATGAATATATGTTTATTAAATCTGCATGAATATGATCACCTGAAGTCTTGTCAAATTTTACGTAAAATATATCCACTTGATATTAATATTAGCATATAATTGCATAAGTTATAGTTTGGTCCCTAATAGAAAAAAATTAATTTATTCTTGAATATATTTGGCATAACAATTTTTTATATTGTTGGAGAAATAACTTTTCTAAAATGAGTAAAATTGCCTTCTGAAAAATAAAAGGTTGAACAAAGTTTCAAGAGCAATCCAAAAGATAAACAATAAAAGCCCTTTTAGTTTAAACCTCGAATAATATCCATGTTGAATAATATATTTTGTAGAGTCTCTACTGTGAAGAGGGTAGAAGTTCACATGTTAGAAGTGAGTGTCAGAGAAATTCGCTTTACAATAATAAATCAAATTCTCATACACCATGGCCCCACCAGGACTGGCTGTCTACTCTGCAAGTTCTTTAGTGCTATTCTCCACCAGTGCAGGTGAGAACAGGTCAGACATACTGCTGTTGACCATCAACTACTCAGAATGAAGTGCATGCCTCAGAAGAGCCAGAACCAGAAGTTATTATGCAATTCCTAATGTCAAATGATAGAACATTCATCCAAGAACGGAAAGTCCACATTTTCAAAAGCAGGTTATTCTCAAAACAGGATATAAAATACATCTCTATTTCTTTTCTTCAAAACAAAAATGCCTTTAGATCTAGCAGAGCACTTGATAGCAAACTAAAATATTGTTCCTTTACTCTGATTTGCACCAATGGAAGTAAGCTATGACATGGAGCACTTGAATGCATCGATTACTCCAAATCTTCATTATTTTTTTGCACACCTACTTATCTTCATAATTAATTTAGATGGAGTGAACCGTAAAATTAGTTTGAGTTCTCCAACAGTGAGAGGAAGTAGCACCTTACACCTAAATGTTAACAAATACGTGTACAATTCTTATACTACAAGACTTTGAGATCCTTGAATGAAGGGACTAAATCTTTGAATTCTTTATACATTTTTGCATCATCTAGTACAGTACCTTGCACAGATGTTCAAAACACAACTGGTAAATGAATAATTCATTTACAAAATATACAATTTTGATGCTCTTGTATTAAAAGAAATAAGAATATTTTTGGTATTCTGGTCATGCTGTTATATAAGAGATACACGGTAATTCTAGATTTTTACCTTTTGAGCTAACATAATAAATAACTCTTGTGTATTAATTTGGGAATACTAACTACCCTAACACACATACCTTCAAATTTCAATGGAGCAACACAGTAAAAATCTATTTCTTCTTTTGTAAAGTCTAAAGCGGATTTTCCTTGTAGGTGGGCAGCATATCTCTATGTGGTAATCTAGGCATTCAGCTCTTTCCATTTAGGGTTATGCTTTCTCCTGTGCCCTAGAAGCCTCTGCAACCAGCTAAAGGATGGGAGCTCATTGGCTGAAGAAGAATGCATAACTGCTGCTTAACTGCCTTGGCCTGAAACTGATCAAACACTTTAGCCCATAATCCATGGGCCAGAACTAGTCACATGCACCCACTGAGACGCAAGCAGATGCCTGCCAGGGAATGGAATTCCTACCTGGGCAGATGCTTTCCAGAGAGTATACTAAGGAAAGGGAAATACAATTTTTTTTTTTAGCAGACTGCAAGTTGTTTTCTGCCACAATGGGCTCCCCCTTTCCCTTTTTCTCCTTTCTTTTTCTTCATAAGCAAAGGACAGTGTTGAAGTAACTTCTTGATAATGTAAATTCCAAGTGTAAGGTAATTTTAGGAAAGCGATAATATAATCATGGACTACTTGGACAGTCTAATAGGATTTTTAAAAATGGCAGCAGATTGTAGGACATCTGAAAAAAAAACTCAATACAAAAGATGATTTGGCTATTCCAGCATGCCAGGTATGCAGTAACTAGTCCCTAGTTAATTTCTGCTGTGTAGTTTTCCTTTGAGTAGGGTCCAATTTTGCCCAAGAAGATGTGTTACTGTTGCAACAGTATCGGACCATACACATGCATTAAAGGTGACTGGTGATAACAAGATATGTTGTAAAGTGATTATGAGTCATAACCTTTTTTCCCACACATACCTCAGCTAGGAGGTGTTCCAAACTTTTAGTGGACTGAAGGGTTTGCCTCAAAGGTGTGCCTTTATTTCCTATCTATATCATAAAACTTGTCTACGGTGCTGACATTTTAAGCCTTCTGATCTTGGTTCAAAGGTGTTTTTCCTAAACCTGAAAACTGTGTCCAAATAACAGTGGGAACTGCACCTCTGTTTGCAACATGTGGGATAAAACATTGTGGCCTTGGAAGTGAGCATCACTGGACATGGTTTCCTGGTCTTTTCTCAGGCAGGCTCTCTTCTTCACCCATAGGTCTTGGCATCCCTGCCTCACTCTGTGCCATCTGGCTAGGAACCAACTTCCCAAATCTGCCTTAGCAACTAGGGCTGCTTGTGCTCAGGAGACTGTTTTCAACAACCACTTCCTGAGGCGATACAGTGGCCTCTCAGAGCTCATATTTTTTTTTTTAAAGATTTTATTTATTTATTTGAGACAGAGAGAATGAGAGAGAGAGAGCACATGAGAGGGGGGAGGGTCAGAGGGAGAAGCAGACCCCCCGCCGAGCAGGGAGCCCGATGCGGGACTCGATCCCGGGACTCCAGGATCATGACCTGAGCCGAAGGCAGTCGCATAACCAACTGAGCCACCCAGGCGCCCCAGAGCTCATATTTTTAATGACAGTTTTACTAGGCTCTAGACTTTATTGAGGGCAAGGACCATTTTTAAATAACTGCCCCCCCCCGCCCCCCCCGGCCAACACACCCTACACACACACAGCACACAAATTACCTACCAGTGTCTGGCATATAAAAGGAACACAATACATATTTATTGAATGCACTGTCTGCCTAATTACCACACACTATCCTGGGGTTGTGAATTGGGCGGCAGAATCTTGGAGCTGGTGGCAGCCTTCCTGAGTATGTGGGACACACCCCACATGGTCTCCTTTTGCTAGAAGGCCTCCAAGGAGGCTCCTCTGCCTTTTAGTGTGAGCTCCTATTCCTTGCAGGCTACATTGCTCAAGCCATACTCCAGCTCCATCAGTCAAGTTCTCAAACCTATTTTCGAATCTAATCCATGTCCCCTACACACTTCTGGCTCCATCTCCTAGCTCCCCTAAATCTTTTATTAGGCCTTTTACTGGACTCATTGTCCAATTCAGGAAATAGGAAAAAAAACCCTGATATTGGAGGAATTAAGAAATGTAACAAGAAGGATAGAGGGTGAGAAATTTATTCAGCTCTCTTTGTTATTCACAAAGAAGCAAGCAAGCTCCAATCTCCTTGCCCAGTTGGTCAGAGAGAGGGGTAGTGAGCAGAGGTGACCTTCGGGCAGAGGGAGATTGGCTCCTCATTCTATGGCGCGGCAGGCAGGTCAGAAAGGAGCTGTCGGGCCATTGTCACTCCCTGTCCTCCTGCGCCTAGCACTCTCTCCTTTATTCTCCTTCCAACCGAAGGGACCAGAGTGGGGATCCGCCTTGGGCTTCAGGGCCCTGCACATACCGGGAGCACCAAGTGGACGTCGGATGATTGGAAGGAGCCAGGAAGGGAGGTGTGGTGCCACCAGTCCCAACCACTGGCTGCGTGCGCGTGTGAACAGGGAAAAGGCGACCCTCTCCGGTGTGTCTCCCGCCCCCTCATTTCTCCCAGGAGATCGGCAGGGCAGCCCTGGGTGACTCAGAGTTGCCGGAGGTCGCTTGGACTCCCGTCCCCAATCTCCTTGGCGAGCCCGCCCCGCACACTCCGCCACGTCCCCGGCCCGCGACGCTCAGAAGCGTCCCCCTCCTTAGAAAAGGTGTGGATGCATGGGTGGGAAACACTGATAACCACCACACCGCCCACAAAAAAGCCCCAGTAGCAAAAACCACCGTACACCCATCACAGGCTGAGCCCGTCTCCCCAAGGTAAGTTGTTTATTCGTCGCCGTTTTGGCGATCCTCCCTGGACAGCTGCGGCAGCGACAGCGACAGCAGCTGTGCCGCGGGACCCGGAGCTCCCCGCGCTCTTCCTTCCTCCGCCCTCTCTCGGTGCTTCTCACCCCCACCCCCTTCCCTCCTTTCCCTGCCTCCCCCCTTTTTGCCCTCTCGCGGGCCACGCACACACCCGGAGACACCCTCAGCACTTGGCTACTCACACTGCGGCTTAACCCAGCCGACAAGGCACAGTTGCCAAAGCGGCGCGGGGGAGTGTGCGGGGTCCAGGGGCGGATGCCAAATGGGGCTGTGGGTGGCAGGGTACAGCCCCTCTCCTCCCAGCCGCGACCCCCTGCCCATTCTCCTTCCCTAATCCCGGCCTGCCAGCAACAGTGACACCTGAGAGGGGACTGGGCGGCGGAGGCGGCAGGCCCACTGGACTGGCAGCCGGGAGAAAACAGGCCGGGGGGCGGGGACGGCGAGGAGGAGCGGGAGGCGGGACGAGCGGGGAGGCCGCTACCTAGCAGTGAGTGACGCGCATGTCAGCCAATGGGCGCCCAGAGCTTCGACGTCGGGGCGGGGAGCGAGGGGCTGGCTCCGCAGGGAGGTGGAGGCTGCCGGGGCGCTGGAGGCGGGGGCCGGGAGGAGGAAGGGGAGGAGGCGGAGGCGGGCACGGTGGCGGAGGTGGAGGCGGCGGCGGCGGCGGAGGAGGAGGGTAGGTTGCGCCCGGGACTGTGTCTGCCGAGCTCCGCGGCTGTGCCTGTGTGAGTGAAGGAGCGGCGCGGGGAGGCAGAGACGAGCGCGGGCGAGCGCAGCGGCGGGACGTCTCCGGCGGCCGCGGACAAGCGGTGGCGCCTGGTGTGGGGAAGCAGCGGCGGCAACAGCAGTAGCAGCAGCAGCGGCGGCCGCCTCTCCGCCGCCGGAGACGCCGAGGCACGGCTGGTGGCACTGACATCGGCGGCCCTGCCTCTTCTCTCTCGCCCCCGGCCCTCCCCATGTGATCGGTCTTAATCCCGGCAGAGTGCGCGCGTGGGGCTCCATTCCGCGGTGCCCGGTTTCCTTGCCAGGGTGGGTGCTCCTGTGTGCGCTTCTCCTCCCCATCCCCCTTCCCCCAAGAATAAAAGAAGAACCAAGAGGCGTGCTTAGAAAATAAATAAATAACCACCACACACGCGCAGCCCGGAGCGGAGTCGGCGGGGCTGGCGGCGGCGGCGGAGGAGGAGTGAAGGCGGCGGCGGCGGCGAAGGAGGAGGAGGTGGAGGAGGAGGAGGAGGAGGAGGAGGGACGCGCGAGAAGGCAGTAACTTTAAAGCCAGCTCAGAGCCCAGACCTCCAGCCGAGCGGTTTGCAGCGCGGCGGCGGCGGCGTTGAGTGTCTGGCCCGCCGGTCCGGTCGGGGTGTGCATTAGGACGGACGAGCAGCGCGTCGCTGTCCCCCGGCGGCTGGAGATGTCCGAGCCAAAGGCAATTGATCCCAAGTTGTCGACGACCGACAGGGTGGTGAAAGGTAAGCGGCGCGCCGCGGTCGCCCGGGTGCACCGTGTGCCGCAGGAACCCTCACGGCTTGCCTCCCCTCCCCCCGCCTCCGGTTCTCTCCTTGCTCCAGCCACGGACCTTCTAGGATATTGTGCAACCCTCGAACCCCCCCCCCCTTTGCGCGCCCTTCCCCCAGGCCTCCCACCCGGCCCCACTTGGGGCATTTTTATTTACGGGGGCGTCAGTTGGCAAATGGCTGAGCAGCGGGGAGGCGGCGGCGGGGGTGGCGGTGGCGGGAGGGGGCGCCCGGGGGGTGGTTGCTGGCAGGGTGTAGCTGCTGTGACAGAAATAGGAAGTGGGTGGCTGCTCGCAGGCTTGCATGGGATCGGGTTTATGATTTTCTTTTGCAGAGGGAGGGGTGATTTATGGCTTTTTAAAAATTAATATGGCATTTTTATGTGGCCGTGGCTTTCCACCGCCTGCCTCGCTCGGGCAGGGTTCTCTCGGCGCTCCATTGCAGCAATTCCCTCCGCGCCCCCTCCCCCTCCCCCTGAAAAGGCCTGCACAGGACTCGCGAGAGAGCGGGAGAGCGTGGGGGGAGCCCGGCGCTTCCTTCCGCGCGGAGCGGGGGCGGCCGCAGGCGGAGGGGGTGGCCGAGGGGACGCGCGGGGGCCGCGGGAGGCGGGGAACGACCCGTGAGCCCCGCCGCCGCCGCCCCGGGATTCCCCTGCAGGCCCTGAGAAAGACACGAAAAGCAGTTCTCCAACCTCCCTCGCCACCCGAGCCTTCCCCCGCCGACCTGTCATTGCTCTTGAATGGTTCCCCGCTGGAGCACACCTCCCCCGTGGTAACCTCACCCTGCTCGCTTCTTCCATGCCCCTGGCACCCCCTTGTTAACGGGCTATTTGATTCCTGTTATTGGCTCCTCTCCCCTGCCCCGGGATCGTGTATACTTCTGCCTCTGGGGTTTCTGGCGTAGAGAAGCCGGGATGCGTGGGGTGAGGAAGGGGACCACCAGTGGTCTTTCTTGCTCGGGAAAACCCGCCGTCCTCGTTGTGTTCCGTGGTGGAGTGGGGGAGGAACCATCCTACGAATCCTGGAAGGATGGGACAACAGAGCAGCTCCGCCAGGATTAAGTAGTGTCCCTCATTCCTGGTGTTAGGACCCGGAGCAGAGCAGGGATGGGGTATGGGCTAGGCGCGCAAGGGGCCTCTGAAATTGGAAACAGCACTGTCTGGTGTGGCGTGTGGCGTGTGTGTTTGTGTGTGTGTGTGTCTGTCTGTGTGTGTCTGTGCGCGCACTGTGTGTAAACCTGAGATAGTATCTAATGTGGCCATGCAAGTAGAGTGCAAGGCAATAAAGTCATTTGGCCCGTGAGCACTTAGATGAAGTAACTCAGCAGCCATAAGACCATGATACAGAAGTCCTGGGGTGTCAGAACTCTTCATTGCTCCATTCAGATTTGCTCAGTTTTTAAAGTTGTGTGTGTTTCTGGTGATGGGGGGAAATTATTCTCTCCTTCTTAAAAAAAGAACACAAAATATCTTTTCTTGTTTTGGTTGTATTAGAATCAGTCCTGCTTGAATGCAGTGTTTATAGACTCATCAAAATAAGGAGGAAATACCTTTGCAAAAATGATTGGAAATAGGACTATAGATGCACAGCTGTTCTTTCTGCAGGCATGGCTCCCCATGTTAAAACAGTGAATTCAAATTCATTCGAAAGAACTAGGCTTTGTATTAAGGGTTTCTGTTGACATTTTCAAAATTAAGACCTTTTGCTGAACTATCATAGTATTTACCTAATGTGTGAAGTTTAGGTGTAACTTCAATCTGTGTGTTTAGATTGCCTGTTTTCAAAACAATTAATGTACACTTGATCTTAGCCAAAAGGCCGAGAAGCGATCAAAACAATTAATGTAAAGCTTACGATTCAAATGATAGCAGTAAATGTGTCAACAATTAAAAAACATTCATATGTGCACACATAAGTTCAGGTTCCCTGTTTTAAATCACAAAGTGTGGCTTTTCCCTGTAAATGGAAAGTTGTCAAGCAGGGAAGAATGTAAAAATAATTGTCCATATGTTCTGGCTTGGTGTCTTTACCGATTAATGTGAAGGAGCCCATTCAACCATTCCATGCCTATTTGCCTTGCTTTTTTCCAATGCTATAATATTTTTATAAATGGCTCTTTATTGTAAGTACACAAACCCCCCATAATTCCAAAGAAATGATTTACATATTTTTGCAGAACTGAAATGCACATGTGGATAATATAGGAACATAGGGAAGTCTCAAAATAGGAAAAGGTAATTTTGCATTTGTTTTGATAAGGATCTTGATGTGAATTTTGAATGTGAAATTTTGTTTATAGGAAAGAAGTTTTATTGACAAATCCTAATTTTAAGGTGGGCATGCTGTTTTTCTTATGCTTTCTTACAGATTTTATATTGTTGGCTTAACAGGAATTATCGAAAGGTGGATCCAACATTTTGTCACATATATGGTTTTTATAACTAATTATTTGAAATGGTAATCTATTTTGATTATCAGTTCTCTAAGAAATAGCATTTCCCCAGTATACACACGCTTAGTGAGTAGAAAGTGCATGTATGATGAATGGAAAACAGATGACCAAATGATTTTTCGTATTTACAAAATCAGATAAGACATAGTTCATGTAACCATGGCTTTAAATTTTGTTAGAACGTCATCTCAGTGGTCTGAGATTGACTCTTTAATGCAGGAAAAGGATTATCCTTGAGGAAATTTTTGTGCTCCTTAAACTTTCTCTCCTTTTACAAAGTACAGATAGTAGTGTTTGGTTACATATAGAAATAAGTATTTGGATCATTATTACCATGGCATGCCATGGTGTTTGTTTACAATTATCTGCATTAGTGTCATCTGGCTTTTGTTGTATAACAAATTGCTATTTACAAATAAAGCTGTGCTTGTGGTTTTGTTTGTAGTAATACCATGATGTGACGGCTTTCTTGATTTGTACTTCCAGAATGCAACTTTAGAAAGGTAGGTTGAGTTTAAGTCTCAACTAACTATGCAATTTTTCAGGTTCATAGCATCTTCTAGAGTGTGTTCGGAGCCCGTGATCAGTTTTCCAAATCTTGAAAATGAAAGGGAATGGCAGCATTGGAGATAAAAAGCATTCATTTAGGTTACTGCAGAAAAAAAGTTTACTTCATTTAGCAAAACTGGTGCTGTTTCATTTTTGACTGTTCTTAGATAAAAACAATGGAAAGTATAAAAATTCATAGAAAAGATCTTGGGTAATGCTCTTCGTTGGAAATCCGAATAATTTGATCCATTTACTGTTTTACATTTTTTAAGGAAACAAAGTATACGCATAACTATATGGCAAAAGATGGAGGGCAGTAATTAGAAGAATGACCACTCTCCCCGCTTTCCCCCAGCACACCACATAGTCTGGATTTTCTCTGCAGTGGTGCTCCACAGGGCTGGTTTAAAACTGGCTTTTGTTCATTTCTCCCTGCCTGTTCCTGCCTTTAACTCCTTGACTGGCCTTAACATTCCCTCTTGGCTATAGAACTTTGCTACACGAAAGTCATACACTTAGAGGAAGTTAAATTGTATGTGATGGGTGCTTGCTTTGTTGCATGTTTTTCCCTTCCTTTTGATCCCATCCCTAAGTATTTTCTAAAGGGCCTCTTACCTTAACCCAAACTGATTTTAATGGTAGAAATTCCGGATACCATGACAGATTGATGGGGGGTAAATTCCTGGGAAGAGTTTTGGGGAATTTCTCAAAAACTCTTAAGTAGCGAAATTTGTGCTGTGTGTCAGGTTACTTTTGGCTGTGGGGGAATTAAAAAAACAACACAAAAACAAAAAGCGCTGTCTTTCTTTGTATTGCCAGCTTTTATAGACTGTTTGTGAAGACAAAATACACATAGGTAAATTCTGGAAGGATATCTAAGATCATATAATCAAGGAGCTGGTAGCTAAGCAAAATATTAAGTAAACAAGGATTCAAGCCACCAGTGTTACTAGCTGAATGAGATGGTAATACTGCTTAAGAAGAAAATAAAAATATGGCTACATCAGTAATAATCATCATGTTTGGATTTTGAAACAAAGTATTAAATAATGCCATTTCTTTGTGGTGTGTCAAGAAGAGCTCATTGTGAATTTATTTTACTTAGATTTATTACCACCAGTTCAGTTATTCTGTGTATATTCTTTGTATCTGGTTTTCCATTTGAGTACAGTAAAACCGCATTAATTCAATCTTATTAAACGTCAGTGTTTGGTGGCTAAAGTTTACATCAGCACTGGATATGAAGAAAGGGGTCTGCTAATCTAATTAATACTCTAAACAACATGATTTGGGCATGGTTAATATACTTAACAAAACAGATTCTTTTCAGGACATACTGAATAGCATGTAAATTAATGCTATTAATTATAAATTAGATTAATCTACTAGTATTTTCTTTCAGGATTTCTACTGTAAAGTCAGTATAACAAAAATGCATGGTTTTCAAAACATTTTGTAAACTTAAGGCTGAAAGCAACAATTGAGACTGTGATTCAGGGAAATTCCAGTGATTCTAAAGTGCCATCAATTAGAAAATTAACATTTAAAAAATAATATTTTTTTTGGAAACTGGGGGAAAGAACCTCTACTTTAAATGAGCCATGTATTTTAAGACATCCAGTTAAAATGTGAAAAAAGTAACACCTTAGAATCTAGTTAGAGGTTTACTCCAACATTTGTTTATATTAGTTTAAAAATACGCCATTTTAAGTCTATTTCATGTTTTAAGTCTATTTGTTTCTATAAGTATGACCTGTTTTTATTTGTAATCTTAGAAATATGAAATATGACTTTGATATACTGTACGCTTATAACTTTTATAATTGGCCTCTTATACTTTTCCTTATCTTTTCTGTGTCAGCCATGTGTAAAGTTGGAACTAATTATGAAACCAAATAAAGAATCCATTTAGAGTGACCTCATTGGAAAACAGCATTTTTCTAGACATACCTTCCTCTTAGCAAATCCAGTTAAATTACTATTTTGAAAGTTTTGTGAAAATATTGGACACTCCAGAACTGTAGAGAATGATGATGATTCATGATCTGGAACTTTGGTAAATACTAAAAAATCATATTGTTAACTTTTTTCCAGCAACTTTCTTGATATTCAAGAGAGATATAGTGAGATTTTGAATTCCATCTTTCTGTAATTGCCCTGTTATATTTTGTAAGTCACAGGCTATTTTCTTCAAATGTAAAATTGTACTCACCCCTCACTTGTGGGAACTTGAACTCACCACTCATAAGTGGAATTTGAGAGCCCACGCAGTCTTGCTTGCTCCCATCGCCTGGGAATGACTGTTTGGTCACTGCTGACACAGAATTACAAATGACAACGTGTTAATAATGTATTTTCAGGGTCACTCAAGAATAGTCAGAACAATTAGTATTGAAATCTGTGAATGCCTTGGGTCTACAACAGTAGCTTATGGTGGCATTTATTTTATAGTTGAAGAAATGGAGACAGAATAGATAGAATGGTCGGTCACAGGTGGGACTAGAATGCAGGTAAGTGTAAGCACATTCTTTCCTTTAGCAGAGATGCTCTTCTCTTGAAAATCTATTTGAAACTGTGACTTCTTTTGGTATATTTAAGCTATCACATTTTTTTTCAAACTTTTCTTTACTGAATTACTAGCTATATAAAATAGCTGTAATAGGAGAAGAAGCTTTTATACCTGTGTATTTAGCAGAAATATAAATTCTGATGATAAATGTTATAATCTGGTTTGATCTTGGCATGAGGTTTACTAAAGGAAAACTGTTAAAAATTATTTTCTGTTCAGGTATATACACAGAAATAGAAATAGCATATTCTCCTGCTAAAAAGTTTTATGTACTTTTATTTTGAAGGTGGTTATCATAAGCCTCTTTGTCTGAATTTCAGATAATGGCCCATACAGTTGATCTGGTTTGAGGATTTTATTAATTTCTAGAGAATGATCAAACGAAAATACCAGCCAATGCTTCTTAAGGTGTTCACTCCTTTTTTTTTTAAAGATTTTATTTATTTATTTGACAGAGAGAGAGTTAGCGAGAGCAGGAACACAAGCAGGGGGAGTGGGAGAGGGAGAAGCAGGCTTCCCGTGGAGCCCGATGCAGGACTCGATCCCAGGACCCTGGGATCATGACCTGAGCCGAAGGCAGGCGCTTAACGGCTGAGCCACCCAGGCGCCCCACTCCTTTTTTTAAAATATAGTCATCAGGTGGGAATGTAGGCATGAAACATGATTTCAGTTTATAAACTAAGTCCTTAGTAGTCTTGATATTTTCAGTATTTTTAACCCATTTTATTTTTACCATATTTCCTTCTTCTGTCTTCACACAGGCTCTATCATTGATAAGCCATCAATTATATATTTCATATGAAGTCAGATAAAACATTTCATATTCCTCTACTGTTAGGTATTCTGAATAATGGCTTAAATCAGATGGACTGTCAGCTTGAGGACCTAGACCTATGGCTGGGATCTCAAATCCATTTTACAAATGTATATGCAGTAGCCAAAACCTTGAAATTAAAAACAAAAACTGAGGAAGCAGTAATTGTTTATTAAATTACTACATTTTTGGAATTAGATGTATTCTTTGTAAGACCATCATAGAGAGAAATAGAATTTTCTGTTTATCTTCTTCTTATTTCCTTAATCCATGCTTTTGCCTCACAGCAAAATATGATGGTCTGTCTGACTTTCTATGAACTATCTCCTGGAACTGGAAATTCTGCGAATGTCTGCAGAAAGCAAAACAAACAAATAGATACCAGAGATTTATGTAACAGCTGCCTCCAGATTATGACATGCCACCTTACAATGTTTGTCAGTTTCAGGTACCTTTCTACAGTTATAAAACCAGAAGAATGATGGTTGATGTTGAGACATAGAGCTTTATTTATATGGAGCTAAATTTTAAAAAAATCCCATCAGCTCTAAGGTTCTAAGACTTAGAGTCTCTTCTTATAGTAACTGTCTAGATCCACTTTATTTTTATCTTTCTGGGGAAGGAGCTACTACTTCTGATATAAAATGTTCAGTTGTCTCTATGTAGCATTAGAATGTTTTGGAGATTCTAGTATGTCGGTGTCTAAACTGTGTCTCCCAGGATGCTGCGTATGCTTGGAAGGTACATAAAATTGTTTGTTAATATGTATATTCAGAGTTTTAGTTTGAAAACTATGGTCATTGCCCCAGTGGTGCCTGGCTCAGTGCCTTGCTTCTTAGGCACTGAATCTGTTCTTGTCAAATGACTTTGGACATTGTACAGTTCTGACGTGTGCCTCCTAAAGCAATAAATGGAGACAGATTATATGTTTATTTTGAGCTCATTATACTCTGATTCTTTGTAAATTGTTCTATGATGACTGTATGGTTAATTGGAATGCTTCCTTCTCCAGCCATATCAGGGAATACAGTATGAGAAGGAGATATTAATAAGGTTATATAATTAGATTGAAGGCAGTTTTGTTGTTTGGTCATTTGCACTGGCCTTATGCCAGTTGGGTTTAAAAGACTAAATCCTTTTCACTGTAATATATTAGCTTGAACTTGAAAGCTTTCTTTCAGTTTTTGTCGTATTTCCCCATAGACTGATCAGATTTTGACAGGTGAGAAAAAATATGTTAATCACTCAGTATTTGACATATTGGGTGATATATATTTTTTATTGTTTAGATTTGGACTTGAAGAGAAAAGGACCTGGCAAATTCCATGAAAAAACAAACAAAACCAAGACCAGAAAAAAACCCTCTTCCTTTGTTTACATCTCAATTTATCATTTTCTGTAATGCTTTTGTAATTCAGAAATGCAGCCTTCTTCAGCATAACCTCCTGCCCTCCTCCTGCCCTCCTCTGGCCCCCAAAATGTCATTGGATTCTATCCAGTGGGAAGATATATGGGCTATGAGAAGTTAAAAAAATGTGGCACCAACTCTGCTGACTCCTTATATTTTCCTAAGTGGGCTTTAAGCCATCCGTTGACATGTGTTTTTAAACATCCTGTAAGCTCTGCCATTTTATCAAATTAAATTAAAAGCACAATATATTGTCTTACAATGACAGAACCTGAGTCAGGACTTCCAAGTTTATGTTGTTGTTGTTGTTGTTGTTATTTTGCTTTTTACAAAGGAATTAAATTTTTTTTTCATTATACCTGGCATCGTTGGTCTGCTATGCATATTTAATGTTAATAAAGTACATGCGTACCTTCTCTGTGTGGGTTTGATTATTGTCATGGTAACAGTTCTCATCACTTAATTCTCATCATTCAAGCCTTGGTTCAAATGTTGCCTCCTCTGGGACCCACATCTCCTGATATCTTCAGTTGGAGTAAAGGGACTCAGCCTCTTCATTTTCATGGAGGACACCTTGAATAGAGCATGCCCTGTGAAGATTCGTTTACCTATCTGCCTCCTTCCCAGGAAATGGAGAGCCCAGGAGAGTGGGGCCTGGCTTCACATATCTTTGTATATTTAGACCTAGTACAATGGCTACTGTAGATTAGACCCTTGATACGTGGTTGCTTAAAATGAACAGAATAACAGATAAAGGGTAAGAGGGGTTTGAATTTCTAAATTGTAGGGTTCTTTTCTATTTTGAAATTTTGTGGGTCTCGAATCATGGGCAGCTCACAAACTTCTGGTGAGTTTCTTGGTAAGTGCCAGTCCTGTAGAAGGGTTTTTTCGCCAGTGTTTTTGAAATGCTTTCTTTTGGTTAGTTGAGCTTGTATGTTTTATGCCCAATAGACAACCTGCAGAAGCATAATTGACAGGAGTGGCTCACCCAGGATGTGCTTGGTTTTCAGTGGGTCATTGTCAGTCAGAGGGGGTATAGGTCAAGTTTCTCAAAGGGGGGTGATTTTTTTTCTTCAGGAGGACTGGTGATGATACCACGTTGAAGGAGAACCACTATGACAAGACTCTGGGAGGCTTAGATTAGACTGCACCATTATATTGCTTGCTTAGAAAAATACACAAATGCAAATGAATAAAAGCTAATATATTTAGGAATCAGAACAGAGATGTAAAACATACTTGCAGGCCTAGAAAAGACATGTCTGTGTAATACTAATAAAAAAATCTTCAGGCGCATCACATGAGTGTAGGCTGCTTGTGAGTCAGCTCTCCTTATGGCATGTCTACGTGGTGAATGTTTTTATAAAAGCTCAGCTCTGGGATCCACATCAGCTGGGAGGGAGTATGGGGAGGCACCTGCTCTCAACCTGGTCCTTACAGGGGACCACTGAGCTGCTAGCCCAGACTTGGTCAGATGCCTCCCCACTAAAGCAGGCTTCCAGGACTTTCTAAGCCCCCATTTATGGGCTAGGATGTCATCTGTTTCCCTAGTGCTGTGAAAGTGAAAATACTTTTCCTTCATGGAGTTGAAGGCTAGGGAAATTAGAGTGTCCCACATAAAATCACATCATTGTCAACTTCTGCCAATTTGCATTCAGCAGTCAGGAGGAATCTCTCTGTTGCCTTCACCTCTGGTCAGAATTCTACTTGAGTACTCTGTGTCATTCCACATGCACTTTGAGAAGGAGGTGTAGAAAACTTGCAGTATCTTAAAAAAAAAAAAAAAAGGTTCCTCCCCCCTTCCCCAAGTTATTAAAGAACTTAAAATTGTGACAGGAACTGAGAGATTATTCAGTCTGAATGAGAAAAGGTTGAGTGGTAATTTAACTGTAGAGTTCGGGTTTTAAAAAGTCTCTTTCTACAGTGGATCACACTCATTATCACCACTATCAACTGAATAAGAGAAAACACTATTGGCAAGCATCTGTGATTTAGGTGACTTTTTTTTTTTAAAGCAGTCATGGACATTTAACACTGGCGTAGATTATGGGGGAATCTTTTGAACAGAGAGAATAAATGGCTCTCATTTATTTGGGTTGTATGTGATCTAAATCTAAAATTACGAAGTTTTGAAGCTGGGAGAAACTTTGGAAATCAACCCCTCATCTGGCCTGAAGCCAGTGCCCTGACTCTGTATGGTGAGAGCGACTGAGAGATGAGTGGGAGAACTTTTCTCTCTTATACTTGCTGTGTCTGAACCAAAGCAAAACAAACCAAACTCAGAATTGGAAGGTGCAGCGATGATCTAGCCCAGGCCATCCCCAATGTGGAATGTCCTGTCCAGCCTGCGTGATGGATGGTAATCCCACTGTTTCATGAACACATGTAATGAGGAGTTGCCTACTTACTGAGACCTGCTTTCATTTCTGCTTGCCAGAGTGCTTCCTTAGGGTTGATACCAGTCTAAATGCTGGAGTACACAGTCATTATGCCTAGCATTGCCCTACAGAGTTCCATAAAATGGGCCTTGTCTTTCACAAGAGAGCTTATTTGACATTTAAAACAACTTTCATGTTCTTAAGTCTTCCAGCTATACCCCATATGGCATCACTTCTGGGTCCTTCCCCAGCCCAGTAGCCTTTCTTTAAAACCATGTAGGTTGTTAGGGTCTTTGGAAAATGGAGACGTGAGTTAAGGTACATCGTGGCTAATCTACTTTCATCGAACCTCCGGCACCTTCAGCTTGGTTGCCTAAGCAGTCTTGCTTTACTCTTCTGTGTCCTCATGCTGACCCTTAAACTTCCTGAAACTCTAGTCCTTCACTGGTGGGCCCAGTCTAGTACGCCTCCCATGATGCCCCTTGGCTGGGTGAGGTCTGCCCACTGCCATTTTACTCCTTGTGCCCTTTCTGTTGAAATTCCCTTCAGTTGTATCACCTCCCAGGACTGCAGCTTTCAGGTGTCAAATACCTGCCCTCTGTAAGTAGAGCTTTCCAGAAAACCTGAATAGCAGATACATGGCTCTCTCTCTGGAGGTATTGCTTTAATTTCACTTGCTTTTATTTGTAATACAGACCAATAATAAAGACAGCATGATAGCTTGACACCGTGGTGATGTTAGCACGGTAACTGAGGACAGGCCAAGTCCCTTGCTGACTTTGCAAATCACACCACCACCACGGCAGCTCAGCACGCCACTCGCCCAGAGCCATCCCTGCCTCCTCCGCCACCCAGTCTTTGAAGGCTGTTGATAAACAGCTCCTAAGGCCTTTGGCTTTGGCTAACCCAGTGAGTTCGATTGTCATTTGATAACTAGTTTAAGTTTCACTGAGGCCTAAAAGAGGCCAGTGCCTTCCAACTAGGGTGTCACAGCACATTCCCGTGTCCCACTCAGCTGTGAGGTATTAACAGCTACTGACAACAACGTACAGAAGTTTGCAAATGACTTATTTTAAAATATCTATGTATAAACGAGGGTGGATTCATGCTCAACCCTAAAATACTACTTTCCCTTACGTTCTGATGTGTTTCCTCATGCAGGGGAGGAAGGGATAGAGCTGCGGCTGTCATGGTGGGCATCTTGCATAACCTGCAGTCTTCTTGATCTTCTGATATACTTTAATCACAGTGGGACTGATATACTTTAATCCCAGTGGGACTTTTATAATCCTTATAAGCCTTGCGTGTTTGCTCTGTTTCAGTGAGCATTTTTGAGGAGAGTTTCTTAGAGTCTGCATTCACATGTGCTTGTGTCTTGTGCAAGTGAGCGTCATGTCGTGTGCATCTTGACAGAAAGAACGGCTGGCATGCACAGTCAGAGAGTGTACCTTCACTGGCCACATCTGTCGACTGGCCAGATCTGGGAGGGAGGCACCTCTGGGGTGATTTCAGCGTGCTCGATGCAGCCTTTTCTCCTCAAACATCTCCCAGGGGCCATGCCCAAAATACCGTGTTTAGTTATGAGGATGAGTTGGCCTTCTTTGAAAGAAGTTTCATAAGCAGCCGATCTTTAAAAAATAATTTGGTGAATTGACTAAAATTTTCTTGGCCTTTGGCTAGTACTGAATTCAAGAAAAATCCTGTGTTTCAGGAGACTTTTTGAGAGAAACTTTCCTGTCACCTTTTGAAGAATTCACATCCCATGCTTCTTGTATCACTCAATTTTCTATCTGCTCCCCTCAAGTGTGATACAATTGTAACATCCTAGCTGGCAAATAGATTAAATAATCCATTATTGAGTATAAAATGACTGTTGAAAAAGTATTATTTCCTTTACTTATCAGGCCATTCATCTACCCATCCATCCTTCCATCCTGTCCGCGCATGCATCACTACTTGCCTGGCTCTGTGCTGTGTGCTCGGGGCTTAAAGTAGGAGAACTCTGAAGGTTGCTATCCAGTGTGTGTATGTTGTGTGGCGGAGGAAGCAATCACAATGTAAGTGGCAATTACTTTAATAGCAGAAGATGCAACATGCTGTGGAGTGCAGGGAAGGGAGTGATTAACTGTCTTCATAGATTGTGCTTTCATTTTTTGGCAAAAATAAATGGAAGCAATATTAATTTTTTTTCTGTATGTATTATATATAAGCACAATGTTAGGACATGGGCTTTGTAAATGAGGATGACATAAAAGGAACTACGAGAGGAATGATGAGTGTACGTGGAATTCTGTAGCTGTTACAGTTTACCTGTGAGCAAGGTGCGTGAGAAAGAATCATGGGTTGTAGAAGGTGGAAGAGGCTTTAAAAGTCAACTAGTTCAAGTATTAAAAAAAAAAACAACACACACAACAAAAGAAAAACACCTTTCCTATTAAATGGTTAATAGCCTCCCTCCCCTGTCCCAGATTATTTACAGCGATGAAGAGGCAGCATCAGAGTGTGAAAAGAACATTGGCTTAAGTGTGACAAAACCTGCATTTACATCCTGCTTTCTGTGTGTGCCACTGTGTGTCTATGGGGAAGTCATGTAACAACCTTGAACCGGTTTTTCTTACTGAAAAGTGGAAATGATAGTATTAACTTTGCAAGGTTATTGTTACTATGAGAAGAATTGATCTGAAACGCCTAGCTTACTGCCTGCTCGAAAGAAGTCCTCAATACATGTTAGGCATTGTGGGTGGTTGTTTTTTTTTGTTTTTGTTTTTGTTTTAAATTGTTGGACAGCTCCTTTGAAAGCAAAGCTTTTTGCTTCTAGAAATAACCTGCATTAAAGTATTCAGCGCCTCCTACCCATTGTCAGATCCACTGCAGTTTGAGGTCCTCTGCCGCTGAGACAAGGTCATCAATGACCATCCAGTTGCTGGCTTCTCTGGTATTTGACATAATGGGCCTTCTCTTCTTAAAATGTTGTCTTCTTTGTCTTTCATGGATTTCCTCTTTGACTTATTTGCCATCTCCTCTCAACTGAATCCTAAA